TTGCCCTGATACTATTTCTAAGAATCTTCGTGCACTCAAAACTTAATGAAATATACAATATGAGAAACATTTTGTTTTACTTAGCTTTTTAGTTGTTACGGCTTAGATTACGAACACGTATTTTAACTTTTAAAGTTATTTTAAAGTCGGTCTACTTTTTAAGATAAAGAGTAGGTAATTATTTCCAACAACAAACATAACGACTGCTTTAACAGAAATATAAAACTAAGTGCTTTGTAATTTCTGCGTTTGCCTTTAATTTTCTCTAGCTCAGTCGGTTACGTGATCGTTAATCTAAAGTAATAGAATAAAAATTTAAAGTTTGGGGTTAATTTACATTTCACTAGAAGTTGCGTTGATTAATGGAAGTTGTGCACTATAAATACTAAAACTTAAAGTTTTTTCATACTCAAAGTCTAGATAATTTTATTGATATGAATTCAATTATTTGAAAGAAAATCTAGGACAAATAGACAAAGATTTATTATAATATTTTAATTATTACACAGAGCTTCATAGTTCAGAGTTTCCCTGCGATTCAGGATGAGGTAAGGATCAAGATTATTGATGTTCTCCTGACCGATTCCGGCAACGGCGGCCAATCTCATTGAGACTAGCCAACTGCGCAGGAGATATTATAGAGCACAAGTGTACGCGCAGACACAAGTGCACTCTCTATTGCTGTCACTCTCATACTCCGGTGGGACGACTGCTCGACACGACCGGTGAGAGTTAAGGCGCAGGACCGACGACTTTACGTGCTCTCCGAGGCACGGGGGTGAAACACCGACAACTTCCTACAACCGCCAATCTTACAGAAAAGGATTCAAGCATAAAAATTTCAAAGTTGCGAGATTCTGGTTTGGTCTCACTTCCAAGTGCGCTAGTTATAATCAGTTTATATAAAAGTATATAAACTGAATGATGAAAACATTATTATACACCTTTCCAATACATTTTCCTGGAAAAGTTGCAAAAGGTTAATCGGAAGTCGTACCGGAAGCAAATAAAGACGGATATCGGAATAATGGTACAAATGACACGCACTTCGAGCGATGTCAAACGTTGAACACTCACGTTTCCGATCCGGACAGTTTCCTTACTTCGAAATTTTATTAGAATTTCTTTTCCTTTACTTAAATATTTTTCTCTACTAGAGAACTAAGTTGAGTTATATATGACTTGATTCTCAGGTGCTATGAACGAGTTCGATTCCTGTGTAATGTTAATATCTATGATACCTCTCTACTATATAATATATATATTTGTAGATTTTTTGTATCTAGAGCATAATATTTGAAACTATTGAACCGATTCAAAAATCTATCAAATAGCCAGCTAAACTATATTTATTCAGAAATAGTTTAAGTTAGGTATATAACGATTTGGTCAGCGCAAGCCGATAAAACGGCTGTTTAACGCATTTTACTCCGACTTGATTTGCTAATATTAACATTTTAAACTGAAAACTTTTTTAAATCAAAATAAATATACCATATATCTATCAGGGATAGTGTAGTTTACTATTAGCAAAATAATTTTTGGAATCGGTTCAGTTCGGTTCTGTATATATTTAACTGGTTTCAATTAGATTTTGGCAAGTACTTTTTTCCTAAATACAATAGAAATTAAAGTAAAAATATTTACATCAACTTTCTACTGCTTATAGTTGTAATGATATGTATATTACAACACAACCCGCTTTGTAGGACACGCGAGCTCGTCTCTTTCCAAGTTTTACGGGACACTTATTGTGTCAGGTGATATACGGCGTTACGAGATAAATGTGACTTGCTAAATGTAGCGACATTTTAAATATAGGTACATATTACATACATAATAAAATTAATTTCAGCATTTTGTAGTGATGTATCGTAGTATAGCTAATATTATTAGTAAGTACCGGGGTGTTGGATTTCAAAAAATATATCTATCCAGCTAAACTTAAAAAGCAATACCTTATCTAAATACAAATTTTAATCAAAATCGTTAAAGCCGTTTCCGAGATACACGAAATTTTATGTAAGTATACATATATAGAAGATTTGTTCATTGAATATTATAAGATAGGCTTCGTATTACAACACTTTGAAAGGTAAAATATCTAAAACTAACGAAATCAAACAGACAGACAAAAATTTTAAAACTACAGAGTCGGCCTCTGTATATTAATGACTATTTCAATAAGATTTTCCCAAAAATATTTAATGTACAGATTTGACTCAGAATTTTATTATATGTTCAGATAAGTACATATGTATACATACCTATATATGTAGATTGTTTTATCTTACACAAAAATCGAGGACGCTTTTGTTTAGGGTGGAATACGACGCAGGTGGTAAACGAAACGTGAAATTGAATGGATGTGCATAACACGTACGTACATACAAATGTACCTTACCTATATATATATATATATATATATTATAAACATTGAACTGTTTACCTTATTAGTTGAAACGAACTCCTTTCTTTTTATCTTATGCTAGGGTATCATTATTTCTCTTATACCTTAGCCTATTTTTGGATAAATTAAATATTGGTACATTAACCCACAGCAACATCTAGTTTCATGGTAAGATACGAGGCTTATGTTATGGATACCAGATAGTTGATACACTACACATATATAACTTTACATACATATTATAGATATAAGCACCCATAGCTGGAGTACAAACATTCGTGCTCATAACACAAATGAATGCCTCCAGCGGGACTCGAACAGGCGACCGCTGGCACAGCAAGTAGGGTCACTACAAACTCAGGCAAACGTGTCTCTATATATATGTAATACTTTCTTAGATTTACGCGAATATTTGACATATTAAATACAACTATCTTATCAGACTTTTTGAGGATTTATTTTGATTATAAAATATTATATTCTTTTAATGTAATTTTAATGTCTTCAAGATATTAAAATTATTATCTGTTCTTAGTAAATATACCTACCTACCTACTCCTTGTTGTACCTTATTTTACTTGGCAACCCTTTTACGATGTCCATATTTATTGCCATATTATTATGTTCTATATAATATGTATATATTTTGCCTCGAAATCTTAGGTATACCCTGTTACAAAGCACAGGTATCAAGCTTATGAACATAAAGACACGTTGATTTATTATAATATTCGTAGATATATACTTCATTCACTATGCAAAGCCACTACCTTTCATATGAAAGGAGCGCAAGAAAAAAGTATGATTTAGTGTTGTCGCGAAGAATAACTAGCGGTGCGATGGTATTTTTTTCATAACTTGATAACATTTGAGAGAGATATATTGGATTCTTTTTCCCAATTTCTAGTGCGCTAGAATATGTGCATATATATAAGAATGACACACTGTATATATTTACATTTAGTAAAATTCAAGATACACTTAACTCACTTACTTATTTTAATACTAGCGACTCACCCTCGCTTCGCTCGGGTTCGTCTCTAGAAAAACAAATACAAATCTATTCCGCGGGAACCTTATCTTTTGACGGGTCTATCCCGTTAGTTTATGTATTATTCTGATATATGAGCTATATTATTGTGAAGTTTCATTAAAATCCATTTAGCAGTTTTTGCGTCAAAGAGTAACAAACAGCCATACATCTGTACATCCATACTTCCTCACAATTTTATAATATAGTAGGATTAAATAGCTAATAAAATACTTGTTATAACATTCTTTGTCCCTTATATGAAAATTAAACGCAGAATATTATGAATTTCACATAATATATATATACTAGCATTGCCTGCGGCTCCGTTCACATTCACATGACCAAAAACCAAATTCTTAGGTTTTACATATTAGTATACTCTTACATTGCAGTTTTTGTATTTTTTCTTCTTATATATATTTTTCTTCTTATATAGTCTTTTGTATTTTTTCGGCCTATATCGATAATAATGTTTATTTCAATAAGATTTTCCAAAAAATAAAATAAGAATACGAGTATATATATATATATATATATATATATATATATATATATATACTCTTTATTCTTACCAATCAATTTTATCTTTACCAATCACCCGCTAGGCCAATCTGAACATTGCCTGAATATATATATATATATATGTGTGTGTGTATGTATATTTATGTTCCCTATGGATTCCAAATTTCTAGAGCGATTTTGATGACATTTTCAGGCAATGTTCAGATTGGACTAGCGGGTGATTGGTAAAGATAGAAAGTTTGAAGTTGATGATGTATATAGGCCATGATATATAAATTTGCACTGAACGGGACTTGAATCTGTGACTACAGCAATAGTTATGACAACACATTGCTACATTATAAAATGTGAAATAAACTTTATATTTTTCATAATATCTTTACAAAACAGCAGGCTAAAGAGTGAATGGTAAATAGAAGTAAGGAAAATATGTTAAAGTCGGTCGAGAGTATGAAAGAAGGCGCGCTTATTTGCTTTGTTTACTTCGTTTTAAATTTATTCACCTTTGAAATACAAGCTAGAGCTTTGATGTTTTAATAATAATTTCGCTTTTAATGTAATATCTTGATCGCCTTGTATTATTTCTTCTTTCTCTTCAGCCATCTCTCTGCACATCTCTACTCTATTACTCTCTTCTATCTTTTTACCCGACTGCGCGACGCAGAAGAGGGTAATGTGTTTGTCAGTCTATGTATATATGTATGTATGTATGTATGTATGTATGCATGCATGTATTTTTGTTTTTTCAGGCTCAGTCTAGTTTTTTTTTATTTTTATAATATATATTTTTTTCTTTTATTTTGCTTTAACTCTTACAGGAGACAACGTATAATTGACGTCCCTGGCATTGCCGTCTTACATACGCAGGCTACCGTTGCTTTTTCTATTGGAAAGCCTGAATCCTTATTTACCATCTTGGTAATACATGAATATTACTTAATGCTGATAAATTCGCAAACGATAGGTTCTTATATAATTCCCTCGCGTGGAAATATATGGTATATATCAGATACAATCATACGAAACATAACTTACCTTAAACCAGGCACATCATCTAACTGGGTCCCATCAGGTTGCTGCCAAGCCAGTTGAGGAGTTGGGAATCCATGAGCTGCACAAGATACTCTGGCTCCTGTACTATTAGAGAAGACCAGTCGTGATGGTGGCTCCATTAAAAAGACAGGGCCGTGCTCCTGACCTTCGCCTCCTGTTGGAAATATATAACAATTAATGACACGATATTCTCTTGGCTGATTCGTCTTGACAGGGAGGCTGTCGCAGGATACAGATGGGGGTGGGTTGTGTTAATAATATGACACTTTAAAACGTATGAGGAGTGCGATGCAACTTTTATGGAGTACATTTATATGTATGTTTGTGATATTGTAGCTCGCGTACCAATGAATTATATTCTATTGTTATTTTATTGTAAAAGCTAGTTTAATATTGCTATTAGTCTATTTAATAAAAATTATCAAGTTATTTATATTAATGATAATTATAATAAGTATAATGAACATTTCATAGCCTGGTTGCGAGAATTTTATAAACATTTAACTTTTTTTTAGAATTTCATTTTTACATTAGTATAATAAAATTATAGCTGAGCCGAACCTGTACATTAATTTTTTTTAAAACTTAGAAATAGTCATTTTTATCGATACAGAGGCCGAATTTATAGTTTTAGAATTTTTGTCTGTCTGTCTGGGAACGCATTACGAGAAAAAAAATTTGTTATGATGATAGCTGGTTATCCGGGTCAACTGGTATATAGGATACTTTTTACTGTCGGAATATATCTCGTCTCTGAGAAATCTATCCGAACCCAAGCGGAGCGAGGGTGAGTCATTACTCGAATATACAAAAATGTAAAGGTGTTTTAGAAAAAAATAAGAGAGTACAAGAACATCTGTTCCGACGTATTGAGAAGTAAACAATAATTATTTAAATCTGTTTCTTTATTTTACTTTTCTGTGCTAATATTTCTAAATTATCATAAATTAGAAGACTGCTTCAAGCTTTTTATCGAATTTTGGGCATATTTTAACATCATGTTTTTGTTATACGTAAACCAAACAATCGTTTACAGCCGATATACACGCACGTTTTATTTTGTGACGGCAATTATTCTGAATAGTTAATGTTGTTAAATGTTTTTAAAACAACAAAATGATGGCTGAGATATATATATATATAATGTATTATTACTAAAGCTTCTGTATTAATAATTAATGATTTCCGCCAAACTATTTTGAGTGGCGCATTTACATGGTTTTCGAAATGTAATCAAATTATTCACGCAGGACTGTTAATTAAAATTTTTGGAAGGAAAATCCTATAACTATTTAGCTGAACCAGCAATCGAACTGTTACGAGTGTCTGGATAAATATGTTTTTAAAAAAAAGGAAATTGAAATAAAAAATAAAATTATAATTTGTATGGAAAGAGACAGCCGACTGGCGTGGATGTAGGATGGATGGAGACTGAGTGGATTGACGGGCGACTGGATTACTAATGATAGAATGTGCTGAGTAGTTAGAAAAAAGCTATGTAAGCTCAAAGGGGTGCATAGCCTATGTATAACACCTCCCTGGGGTGGACTAAACTTCGGGGTTAAAATTTCGAAGTTTAGGAAAACAACGTATTTAATTTTATATGTTTCTTCTAATGTTAGGACTAGGAATATTTTCCGTATTTATCTGACGTTTATGAATTTTAATAGGTATGATAGGATCTGGATTTGGTGTTTGACTTTCGGGTGGTTCTACTGGGGTTGATTGGAAAAACTTAGGAAAGTGACAGGACAGGCGGCTGTGCAATTTAATATAAATAAACAACTTAATTACACAGTAAATAAAAATAATACATGCTATTAAGATTAATATAATGGAGTAATGAGTCTCATATTTAATTATATTATGTTGGTTTATAATTTTATTGGCTTCATCCGATATGGATTTTAACTTAGATTTTGTTTCCATGGTGAAAATGTCTAAATCAAAGTTTTGAAGTTTTATACGAGGTTCATTACTCATCTCTTTTTTAAACTTATCTAAACTACAGCAGGAATCATTTATTATATTAAAATCAGAGTGGGATACAGAGATATTAATCTTAATACTATTTAATTTAGGAATTAATTTGGTACTCTTACAATATGCAATACAATTATTAAGGATTTTTACAATTCCGGTTCCAATAATATTTATTTCTAGATTTCTTTGAGTGGGACATTCAATATATAGTTTATTGCTTACAGATTGTACATAAATCCATTTATTATTGGAAAGTGGTTTCCATATATCTATATTTCCGTAAATAAAATCCGTTTGGCACTGCACTGGTAAAACACTAATAACTTTTGACATAGCTCACTTTCACAACTGGGATTTGCACTAGTAGAAAATACGCTCATAATGTCACAGATGTAGTCGCGAGGGCTTATCGCTTTGCATTCTTTTAGTGAGTCAAGATTACAATATTCTAATTTATCTTTGGTCATTGCGATGTACTTACTGCTAGGAATTATAAAACTAAACGATTTTGGTTTAGCACTATTATGAGGAGTCGGCAATGCAATATTATGAAATAAATGATATACTTTGGGAGACACTAACGGTATACTTAGTATAAAAACTATCTTATTATTTAAACTATAACAAACTATTCTAGATACATTTATTAATATATGAATATTACTTAATTCTAGGCTTACAGGTAATTTTACATTTTCAGGTAAGTATCTATAGTTATCGACAAGCTCTTGGTATAACTGTGTGGGTGGTATTATAGCAGGGTGAAGGATGTTTTGACTACTAAACATGATAGCATTTATTATGTCTTCTAATTGGAAAGATAAAGTGAGTATGGAGGTTTCTAGAGTGTTTAAGATTGAGTTAATGTTTAATTTCGTATTTAAATCATTAGAAATAATTGATAGATTTTTTAAAGTTAACGAGAGTTTGTCAATAGCTTCATTAAGCCTGTCTTCATTAAATTTTATTTTATTTATGGTATTATTAATTTTTGACAAAGTAAAGGTTGTTATTAAAATATTTTCCTTCATTAATGAACCCAGACTTTTCTCATTAATTTGGATACTTCGTATAGCGTTGTCATATCTGACAGCATCGTCTTCGTCTAGAGTCCCAAAGATTGTTTTTGAAAGTGTGCCTATACCACCTAGCCATGCCCCACGCTTAAATCTGTTATTATTTAATAAATGAGCAATGGAAGAATATTCGGAAACTATATCGTTATATCTAACTGTGAGTGGTTCTAAAACGTTATGACACTCTAAGTTACTTGCGGTTTCAATTTGGATTTGACTGCATAAAAAACGAACTGTACCTAATATAGAATTAATGTTTTGAATATGAGGTTCAATGTGTGAGATATCAAATGGGATAACTACGTCTAAGTAACCAATATTAATTTTAAGTTCACCAATTGGATCAAAGTAGATACCAGAGCTCGAGTTGATTGGTTGGACATATTCTTGGTGACCTTGGGCCAGTATGCTGTAAATAAAATATAGAGATGGAATTACTCCTAGAAATTTATATTCCTTGATATACTATAAATAAAATGTAAAGGAAAAAATTAATGTAAATACGAGTATAGTAAAAATCTATTCTAAGAAGAAGAATGCACTTCCTGTACTTCTACATGTTTGACTTCGTCATAGTGGTGTTTCACATGACGTCTATTTATAAGTAATGATAATGTATGATTACCATGTATTTTAACGACCTTGTATGGACCTTTCCATACAGGAGATAAGGCTTTGCGTAATCTTAGATGATTTTTTAACAGGACGTAATCTCCTACCTTATACTCAACAGGACGAGTGCGTTTATCATAATAAGTTTTAGAATTTGCTTTTGACTTATGAATGTATTCTAAAGCTTTATCGCGGGCGTGTTTCATACGATGTTGTAATCGTCTTACATATTCGGGATAGGTAGTATCAGAAGAATTGTAAATTGAATTTGGAATGTGAGGTTTGTGACCAAATACTAATTCGTATGGAGTATAGTGCGTGGTTGAATGTACAGCGGTATTATATGCTAACATAGAAGTATATACATATTGAGGCCAATTATCTTGATTTTCGTTTACATAAGATTTAAGGTATTCTTTAAGGGTTGAATGTGATCTTTCTAAAGCACCTTGCGTTTGCGGATGGTAGGGTGATGACCAGAGTTGTTTAATTTTAAAAACCTCGCATGTTTTCTTAAAAAGTTCAGCTGTGAAATTGGTGCCTTGATCAGTGAGTATATGCTTAGGGATTCCGAATAAGGATATGAAATGAAGAAGACAGTCGCTTGCTTCTTCAGCCGTGTTACAGCGAATAGGGTATGCTATCGAGTACTTTGTTAAATCGTCTTGCATAGTTAATATGTACTTAAGCTTCGCTGTGCCAGACTCAGGCAGAGGGCCCACAATATCAAGGGCTACTCTCTCGAATGGGGATGTAGACGTGGATGTTATTACCATTGGGGCTCTATTAATTTTACGTAAGGCTTTATTTGTCTGGCAGGATGAACAATTCTTGACATATTTTTCGATATCGCTTGACATGTTTTTCCAATAAAATTTCTCTTTGATACGACTGAGCATTCTTGATGACCCTAAATGCCCTGCGATAGGGATGTCATGATTTTCTTTAAGGATTTTAGGGATTTCGCTAAGTGAAGGATATATAATATTATTATGATAAATGTGGATACTTATCCTAGTTCCATCAAATAGATAAGCTATCATATTATATATTTTAACAAACGAGTGTCTATCGAAAGGGTTTTTAAAATCAGATGTACCAATCTCGTTTATTGTTGGATAAGACATGATTATTTCATCACGTGCATATTTTAGGGATTTAAATATATCGGGATACGAGTGATTATCAAAATGATGCACTTTCGTGAATAAGAAAAGATAAGTTTTATTGTCTATTGTAAGAGGTAAAAATGTATGTAAACTTCTTTCTAATCTCAAAAACTCATCACGTTCGGGGTTTGGACAATTACTAATTACTTCTTGGACATAGGGCATAGATTCGTCCAAGTCCAATGAGGTTGGTATTATTACCAATTTCTGTATTCCTTTCAGTAAATTTTCATTATGTTCTGTAATGGATGTATCATATAATTTTGCAGGTGATTTTAAAAATTTGTTATAGGTTTCGTCGGATAATAATGTAC